GTCTCTGTACACAGAGAGCTGTTACCCTTCCCTTCATAGTTATGACAGGGACTGTGTGATTCTAATGTGACTCTGATTTTGGCCCAAATTGTTCACTCAGCCCTGCCCTGCGGTGTTGGTGCTTCGGTATCTGCTCAGCACCGTGTGTGGCTGGGAGCCGCCGCCCAGGGGCTCTAGTGGGGAGGTGGATGAACTTACCAAGCTTCTCACGGAGCTCCTGGCACTCTGGGGAGAGAAGAGAAGGAGATAATTGTGGGTTCAGTGTGGTTATTCTGAGCAGAGTGACATGGGGCTGTTCCAAACTCTGGGAACGTCTACACTGCAGCCGGGAGTGAGCTTCCCAGTTTGGGCAGACAGAGACACGCTAGCTCTGCTTGAGCCAGTGCGCTAAAAGTAGCCGGGTATCTGGGGGTAGCAGGTGCAGCAGCTTGGGTTGGCTGTTCAAGTACAAACCCGCTCGGACCCCCTGGGAACACACTCGGGTAGGTACACTGAGCCCACCCCCCACCTCCGGTACCTAGCATGTGTCTGGCTACCCGAGCTGGGAAGCTCGCTTCCTCCTGTAGTGTAGATGGACCCAATGCGCCAAGGGTCTCGGAGCTGACAGGACATATCAGACAAAACTGTTGTTAATGAACAACATACAAGGTCCCAGAGCAGCGCCTAAACACAGCCCACAAATTTCCACTAGGGGCAGCACCCCCCAGCACTGACAGCACTGACAGAACATGTATCACATAGAGAGAGGCCTGCACTGCTGCAGCCCATCACCCAACCTCAGACCTCCCATTTATGTGCTGGGCAATCCCTTTGTGTTGCTGATTTGCACAAGTGTGTAACTCTAGGGTCAGTGGTTGGCAGGAGCGGAACTTGGGAACAGCTCCGTGGGGCTGTGTGGCAGTGGATTTACTGTCCGCTGCTAGAGATGTGGGGTCAGGTTCTGCCCCAGCTCTTGTGAGAACAATGTGGGTGGTGGGGCCCATTAGAATGCACCTCACCGAGCCCATACACAGACTCTGTCTTCATTCGCAGCCAAGGCTTAGCCTCGGGGGGAGGGGGAAGAGGACAGGACTGTGGAGTCCAGCATTGGCATAGCAGCGATTTTGCAGTTCAGAACTGAGATAAATCCACAGACCTGCACGGAGGAAGTTTGCCCAGCCCCTGACTAAGGTTTTGTCTACAGAGCCCCATTGTTCGGCTGTTACCTCGGAACTGAGGAGTGTGTTACCCCAGAACTTGAGTAAGCTAATCACAGCCACAGAGTGTGCATTCAGCCACCAGGAATTAATAAAATAGAACACCACATAGTTAAGAGTTAATTTGGACAAGCAGGGCTTTTGGAGGCAAGGTCAAATACTAGCTGCAGGCTTATGTTTCTGCTAATTAGAAAGGGAGGAGGGGAGGAAAGAGTCAACAAACTATGGGACTGAAATAAAATAAGTGGATGGAGACCTTGAGTTTGGGCGTCTTTGATACAGAAGCTTCTTATGGCTAAGATTGTTAGGAATGTTTTAGTGATAAGTAGTTTATTGAAGTGAGGAGAAGTGATGACCCAGAAAGGGTCACTGGGAGCTGTGTGTTTTGTAAAAGCCAGTTATAAAAAGACTAGATAATAGAATGTATTTTGGAGCAGTTCTCTGGAGCTATACTGAGAGACTTTTTCCTGACATCCTACTCTCCGGCTTGGAAGCAACTGGCCATCGTTGTCCTGCTGTTAATTACTCGATACCATCTCAGATTGTAGACAATTATTTGGGATGTTCTAAACCTATGTTTGTGTGTGTTTAAATCTAATAAATAGTCGTTTTAGATAAGAGCACACTTATTTGTATCAAGCTTTCATCAGCTGGAATCAGGGCCGATGGGGAAGCCGGTACAAATTACCGGGGCCCGGCGGTCTGGAAGGGGGCCCGGGGCCTGGCTTCCCACCCCTCTTGTCTCCTTACCGGGGCCCGGCAGTCCGGAAAGGGCCCCAAGGCCCAGGTTCCCCGGCTTCCTCCTCCTCTCATCGGCCCTGTTTAGCCAATCCGCCCTTGCTGAGGGGCCCGGAAAAAATTTTTCACCGGGGCCCGAACCTGCTCTCGGCAGCCCTGGCTGGAAGTGCTATGTTCCCATTGATTTATTCCTGACACCACCTGTAGTGAAACAGTTAAGTTACCACTGCTTTGGATTTATGACCCTGGGCAACACAGCCTACAGGAGAGTGATTTGCAGCATGCACAAAAGTGCTGTGCTGGGACGTCACATGTGGATGCTGCCGGTACACACTAAACTGTCTCTCTTCAGTTAGGCCTACATTAAATTTTTAACTAAGAATCTTTTAGTTCATACCCACGGAATCCACACAGAGTTGTTACAGGGCAGCACTTTGATGCATATTCCTATTCACACCCCTGTAATCTGAACCGTTGGGCAGTGTAGACACAGCCTGAGGCCCACCATTCCACATGCATTAAATTCAGTCTCTGTTGTTTCGGATGATACTGAAATGTGAGCTACAAACTCTGCAGTGTTTGTTTCCAGGGCAGGGGGAAATGATCATGAAGGTGACTGAAGTCCATACAGCGCATGTGGTGATTTTTCCATCTCATTATAGTGTGAAAGCGCAGACACACATTCACTAGGGGTCTAGCAAAATACCTGATTCCAAGGTTGTCTTCTCAGTCCTTGCAGGCTCTGAAATGTGGAAGAGAAAAGAGTCAGACCCAGAGACACACACTGGGTGGTGCTGTACACTCCCTAATGACTGGGGTTAGTCACAGACATCCCACACCCACACTCCCAGCCCCAGTGCAGGAGCCGGCAGGTTTGACAGGAGCAGGGCTGGCAGTTAGTGATATGCACCAACACACCAGAGACCTGGGGGAGTCTCTCACTCCTTAGCCCTCATCTACATAGAATCTGACACGAGCTTAACTAATTAGGTTACAAAACACTCCTTGAGTTAAACTGGTGCAGGGCTGTGTGTAGCGCAGGCCTTGGGCTGGTGCAGCAGAGCCAGTAGAACCATGGGGCGGGGGCAGTTACTCCTCAGCGACCCCTCTGGCTAGTTACAGAACAGCACTGGTTGCTAGGTGAGTCTCATCCCCAGCTGGGGGAATGGTGGCCACAAGGGGATATGGCAGAGGGCAAAGGAGATGAAAGAGGGGGATCCTCAGGGCTCTTCCGGGCTGTGATTGCCGTGAGAACCCCAGTGACTGCGCTGGCATGTTGTACCCATTCTCTGCACCTTTCATCTGTATTTCCCTGCATGTGAGTGCAGTGCCCAGCAGAATGGGTCAGCACCACTCAGCACCATCACAATGCAAACCAATATTGTTCTTAAATACTGAAAAGCTCACAGTGGAATAAATTAGACACATGGAATTTAAGAACTTGGCTGCTGTGTCTATTGCTCGATTTATAGAGTTTCAGGCCAAGTAGATTAATTAGTTCATCTCCTCTGACCTGCTGTGTATCACAGGCCAGAGAATCTCACCCAGTTCCCCTGCACTGAGCCCAAGAACTCAGATTTAGCTACAGCATCTTCCAGAAAGGTGCCAGTCGGGATCTGATGCCATCAGGTGATGGAGAATTCACCACTGCCCTGGGGAGCTTGTTCCAGTGGTTAATGACCCTCCCTGTGTTCTGTGCATTCAACTGCATTCAGGGATCCCATGCACTGCTACAATCCCATGCACTGCTAGAGACTAGGGACCGAATGGCTAGGCAGCAGTTCTGCAGAAAAGGACCTAGGGGTTACAGTGGACGAGAAGCTAGATATGAGTTGACAGTGTGACCTTGTTGCCAAGAAGGCTAATGGCATTTTGGGCTGTATAAGTAGGGGCCTTGCTAGCAGATTGAGGGACGTGATTATTTCCCTCTATTCAACATTGGTGAGGCCTCATCTGGAGTACTGTGTCCAGTTTTGGGCCCCACACTACAAGAAGGATGTGGAGAAATTGAAAAGAGTCCAGGAGAGGGCAACAAAAATGATTAGGTGGCTGGAGCACATGACTTATGAGGAGAGGCTGAGGGAACTGGGATTGTTTAGTCTGCAGAAGAGAAGAATGAGGGGGTATTTGATAACTGCTTTCAACTACCTGACAGGGGGTTCCAAAGAGGATGGATCTAGACTGTTCTCAGTGGTGGCAGATGACAGAACAAGGAGCAATGGTCTCAAGTTGCAGTCTGGGAAGTTTAGGCTGGATATTAGGAAAAACTTTTTCACTAGGAGGGTGGTGAAGCACTGGAATGGGTTACCTAGGGAGGTGGTGGAATCTCCTTCCTTCGAGGTTTTTAAGGTCAGGCTTGACAACACCCTGGCTGGGATGATTTAGTTGGGGATTGGTCCTGCTTTGAGCAGGGGGTTGGACTAGTTGACCTCCTGAGGTTCCTTCCAACCCTGATATTCTATGATTCTATGGATCTTTCAGTGTCATTTCCTTTAAATAGAATAGTATCACTGAGCAACTGCCCAGGGTGGGTGGGATAGAATCTGACCCAGAATTGTCATTGCAAACCATCACCATGCCGCCCCCACACGCAGGGAATCTCACAAGCACAGACCCTTGGGTATCTGCTGCAAAATACACATTTGCCAACCTGTTACCATCAGTGTGTATGAGAACGTGGGGGAGATGAGGAACCACTAGGCAAAGACCACCTGGCTCCATCCCTTTCATTGCACGGAGCCCACAGGTAATACCAAGCAGTCACAAAGCTCATGCTTCTCAATAGACACAATAAGAGATCAAGCAGGAGACCTACCATAAAATAATCGAGCTTCCTCTTTAGAGCGTTTCTCCTGAGAGACCTTTTGCTTCACTGTGAGACAGAGAATCAGACATGACAGTGAGAGAGGGAAGGAAGGGGAAACACTGAGCAATACACTAATACAGGTGGGGCCTGTCATAAATATACAGTTAAGGGTTAATTCCTCTTTTACCTGTAAAGGGTTAAGAAGCTCACATAACCTAGCTGACACCTGACCAAAAGAACCAATAAGGGGACAAGATACTTTCAAGTCCGGGAGGGAGGAAAGTTTTTGTCTGTCTGTTCTGTGTGCTTTTGCTGGAGAAGACCCAGGATGCAAGCCATCTAACTCCATTAGAATTAGTAAGTACTAACAGGAGGAATGTGTTAGTTTACTTTTATTTTGGCTTGTGATTTCCTTTGTAAGAAGAGAGAGGCTTATCTTTGATTTTTGTAACTTTAAAGTTTGCCTAGAGGAGAGAATTTCTATATTCTAAATTCTTTTATCTTTTCTTTAATTAAAATTCTTCTTTTAAGAACTTGATTGATTTTTCATTGTTTTACGATCCAAGGTTTGGGTCTGTGTTCACCAGGACTAATTGGTGAGGAGAGTATTCTCAAGCCTCCCTGGGAAAGGGGGTGTAGGGGCTTGGGGGATTATTCTCAAGCCTGCCCAGGAAAAGGGGTGTAGGGGCTTGGGGGGATATTTGGGGAAGGTAGGGCTCCAAGCGGCCCTCCCTGAATGTTTGTTTAAATCACTTGGTGGTGGCAGCGTTACTTAATCCAAAGTACAAGGAAGGATTTGTGCCTTGGGGAGTTTTTAACCTAAGCTGGTAGAAATAAGCATAGGGGGTCTTTCATGCAGGTCCCCATGTCTGTACCCTAAAGTTCAGAGTGGGGAGGGAACCCTGACAGGGCCGGGGACCCAGGTGTGATTATTTGGTTTATTTCCTAAAATCAAAACAAGGTAACTATCTGAACAATAAGACTCTCCCATACCCCACCCCAGTGCCCTCTAGGACCAGGCTCTAAACATGCAAATAACACATTCCCATTACCTGTGTATCCAAGATATGCACAAGCTCCAGCAGCAATGAGAATCAGAGTGAACATCACCCAGAATGCAGCCTGCCAGGGAGAAACACGGGGAAAGACGTCACCTGGCAAACAGAGAGCACAGAGTGTGAGGAGCATGGTTCCATTCTGGAGCTGGAGAACGGGGTTTGCCACGTGGCTTGACAGCTGAGTCGTTGCTCAGAGATCCTCAGAAATTCCCAGGACTGAAGGGCATGTCCCCTCCAGGCTCAAATCGCAGCCACTAATGGGAGCCATTGAAACCGGAGAAGCCAGCGCAGCATAAGTTCCAAGAGCCAGGACTCTGCTGTGCCCAAATCCCTCCCGCTGTCAGAGGCACCGACTCCGTGGGTGCTCTGGGGCTGGAGCACCCATGGAAAAAAATTGGTGGGTGCTCATCACCCACCGGCAGCTCCCCATGGCCCTGCCCCGCCCCCCTGCTCCAGCTCACCGCTGCCTCCACCTCCTCCGCAAGTGCGCCGCCGTGTCCTGCTTCTCCCCCCTGCCTCCGAGCGCTTGCACTGTGAAACAGCTGATTCGTGGGGCAGGGAGGGAGGGGGAACGCGGTGTGCTGGGGGAAGAGGCGGGGCCGGGGCTGGGATTTGGGGAAGGGCTCCAATAGGGGCAGGGAGGGGCAGAGTTAGGACAGGGACTTTGGGGATGGGGTTGGAATGGGGGCAGAGATGGGGTGGAGTTGTGGCGGGGCCAGGGGCGGGAAAGGGGCGGAGGGCGCGGGCACCCACCGGCGCTCTAGAAAGTTGATACCTATGCCTCCTGTTACAAGCTAAAAGTCAGAGACTCCTTGCCCAGCCTGCCCAGCACTGCCTGGCTGTTCGGATGGTCCCTGTCACACAGCTCCCAGTTCTCAGTCACCACGTCCAGTCCAGATAAGTTCAGCAGAGAACAATTGTTTTCCCAGTTGGCCTCAGTGTGTTATGGATTCATAGATGTTAAGGTCAGAAGGGGTCATTATGATCATCTAGTCTGACTTCCTGTATAACCGAGATCAGAGACCCTCCCACAGTGATCTCTGCATCCAGTCCAGCCACAGCGGATCTTATAGAAAGAGTCATCCAGTTTGGGTTGAAAGAGCCCAAGTGATGGAGAATCCACCAACTCCCTAGGTTAATTCCCCTCAATATTAAAATTTTGCACCTTATTTCTAGTCTGAATTTATCTAGCTTCAACTTCCAGCCATCAGAACTTGTTCTGCCTTTGTCTGCTAGGTTAAAGACCTATCCGCTGTCAGAAATCTCCTCCCCATGTAGGTACTGTGACAGACCCAGACTAGTGGGTTACAGGAGTCTGGTGGAGGGCAAATATACTGGTCACTGGATGAGTAGTTTACTGTTCCCTGAGTGACCAGAGCAGGGGCTGCACTAGAGTAATCAGGAACCTGCTAGAATCAGTTAAGGCTGGCAGGCTAATTAGGACACCTGGAGCCAATTAAGAAGAAGCTGCTAGAATCAATTAAGGCAGGATAATCAGGGCACCTGGGTTTTAAAAAGGAACTCACTTCAGTTTGTGGTGTGAGTGTAAGGAGCTGAGAGTGAGAGTGTGAGGGTGAGGGTGTGGGTGTGGGTGTGCTGCTGGAGGACTGAGGAGCACAAGCGTTATCAGACACCAGGAGGAAGGTCCTGTGGTGAGAATAAGGAAGGTGTTTGGAGGAGGCCATGGGGAAGTAGCCCAGGGAGTTGTAGCTGTCATGCAGCTGTTACAGGAGGCACTATAGACAGCTGCAGTCCACAGGGCCCTGGGCTGGAACCCGGAGTAGAGGGCGGGCCCGGGTTCCCCCCAAACCTCCCAATTGACCTGGACTGTGGGTTCTACCAGAGGGGAAGGTCTCTGGGCTGTTCCCCAACCCACATGGTGAATCTCTGAGGCAAGAAAATCCGCCAATAAGCGCAGGACCCACCAAGATAGAGGAGGAACTTTGTCACAGTACTTACAGACCATGATCAAGTCACCTTTTAACCTTCCCTTGGATAAGCTCTATAACTTGAGCTCCTACATTTCTCACTGTGAGGCAGCTTTCCAGACCTCTAATAATTCTTGTAGCTATTTCCTGAGCACTTTCCAATTTGTCATTACCCCAACTGACAGTGTGGGCACTAGAACAGGACACAGTATCCATAGTGGTCTTGCTTATGTAACCCACATGCCATCTGGGTGTGGTGCTCTGTCCCATCTAGTGGCACCAAGGCCACTGAGAGACAGATAAAATGAGTCTGTGTGACAGCTTTAGCTAACAGCCAGGTGGCTTTTAGCTCATGTGGTAGAGGCTCATGCACTAAGCTCCAGAGGCCCCAAGTTCGATCCTGCCTGTCAACAACCAGAGTCTGTTGGCATTACACTAACACCACACACAGAGGTAATGTTGCCTCCTTTCTCCTGATAGATATTGTCATTTATACATGCAAGGGTTGCATTCACTCTGGGAGCTCACATCCAAGTCCTTTTCAGATTTCCAGGTTACAGTCTCCCATCTGTAAGTGTGACCTACGCTCTTTGTTAATAAATGTGTGACCTTGCATTTGGCCATGTTGAAATGCATGTGTGGCAAAATGGGATTTCCGCTGGAGCCACAGCACAAGTGTGGATCACTGACAGTATGTTATTAGAACGAACCCACCTTACCAAACGATCCAGGTCAGTTTGCACTACTGACCTGTCCCCATCATTTTTTACCATTCCACCAATTTTTGGGTCATCTGCAAATTTTACCAGCAATGATTTTACATTTCCTTCTAGCTCATCAATAAAGCTATTGAATAGCATTGGCCCAGAACAGATCACCCCGGGACAGCACTACAAATATCCCCATTTGAGGCTGATTCCTCATTACAATGACTTTGAGATCTATTAGTTAACCAGTTTTTAATCCATATAGCATGGGCTACATTGAGTTTGTACAGTGCTAATTTTTTTTCTCAGTTTCATGCAGGACTAAGTCAAACCCCTTACGGAGTCTGAGACCTGGTCTACACTACAAAATTACGTAGGCTTAATTACATCGCTCAGAACTGTGAAAAATTTCATACCCTGTGCAACGTATTTAAGCCAACCTAACCCCCAGTGTAGCCACCAGTAGGTTGATGGAAGAATTCTTCTGTCAACCCAGCTACTGCCTCTTGGAGATGTGGATTTACTACAGCCATGGAAGAACCCCTTCCGTCACTGTAGTAAGTGTTTAAACCATAGAGCTGCAGCTGTAGTGTTTTTAGTGTAGACACACCCTGAATCTATTATGTCATCCCAGTTACCTTTATCAACCAAACGCAACATCTCCTCAAAGAACAATATCAAGTTCATTTCACAAGACTCAGCCCCAGCTCCTGACAGGCAGATTGTCCATATCACAGAAACCTCCGTCATAATGGCCCCACAAATCAGGTTAGAAGGACATTTCCTGTCTCAGTCCCAGAAAGAGGCATCAGCTGAGTGCAATTCCAGGCCCCGCACTCCCGTGGTGACCCCTGTAGGTCTTGTGGGAGCCCTAGGTATAACTAAAAGTGTGAACCAAAGGCTGTGAACCAGAGTAGGCCTGGCCTTGGAAAAATAACAATACACCAGCTATTAGCTAGCACCAAGTAAGCACATTCCTGACTCAAGAGGATAGTACAAAAACACACAGATCTCTCAAGTAACTATGTAAATGCATTCCTAAGAGATGGTACAGGAACACACAGACCCCTTGTAGGATAAGGATGGGATGACAGGTTAATGGATGAGGATATTTTGTTCCAGCTGGCAGGTACAAGGATAAGGGTGATAACTAACAATATCTGGACTGTAATACGTAACTTGTTGGTATCAGTGTCTAAAAGGAGAAGTGATAAGTGAGGCATCTTTGTCCAGCTGAGGGGACAGCATCCTGGTGCACAGGCTGAGCGGGTACCTTGTTGTAGGCATACATGCATTAGTGTAACTGTGGCTTCTACAGGGCTCTAGGCTTTGTCCACAATAAACCTGGCTGAGTGCCATCGCCACTGAACTGAGCCTGTGATCTTTCCTATGAATAACATCAGGGTCGGCTGAATTAACACGCTGCACCGTCTGCTGGTGCAGCTGACATCGGAGCTCCCAGAACAGCAACACTAGCAGCAGTAATAACTTAGCAACTTTAACAATTCTCCACAGCACTAACAACAACCCCTTCTGCACGGGGGGACTCACCTGAGAGGTGAATGGCCGATTGTCGCTCGGTCACCAGCAGGGCATTCCGCACTATGCAGCTGATGTCTCCATTGTCTTCTCCTTCTGTGACAGTGACGTGACTCACAACACTATACAGGTTCTCCCTTTCCTGAGTCATGTCGGTCACAATCTCCATCATCAGGTTCTGCCCATTCTTGCCAACCCACTGGAGTTCGGGTTTGGGGAACCAGCCTGTGGATCTACAGATCAGCCCGATCCCCTGACCCCGGGGGCCCAGCACGTCAATCAACACTGGAGCCAAAGCTGCGAGGAGACAAAGAGTGTGTGTATCAGAAAATCGTGTCTTTGGTAGCACCATGTGAGTCCTCAGATACCGCTGGATATAGGGGGCTGTGGCTGGAAAGCTCCATTCCCATATGTGCAAAGCCTCCCTGGGATCCCTCATCCTGACGACTCGGGAAATTAAATAATATCATCTTCCATTTCCATAGAGCACTGAGCCTTGCAGGTTCACAGAGGAAGGCTTATACAGCTACACAGAGATCACTGCACCCGCTGCTGAAATGCAGCTACATCTGGGGTGCAGCCCAGCAGCTGTCAGGATCACTGCACTTTGGTACAGAGCAGAAGGTGAGGAATAGTGACCCTGCCTACGTCACTGCTACGACTCCTCCTATGCCACTCTTCTAATAACTGTCCCCTCTGGTGTCCTTCTCCCGCACTGCTAATGGTGCCCCAGGCCAAGCCACCCCTCGTGCTTGGATTTCCCTCTTCCTGTGCTGCACACAACCACCCTCCCCTCCTTTAAATCTCTCCCTAAAAGCAGACGTGTCCTGCGGAGCCTTTGGACTAGGAGCCCCAAAGATGGGAGATGATTTAAAACAACCTCAATGCTCTGCATTATCGCAGGAGGGCCCCTCACCAGGGGCTTGATGTTTCTGAACTGTACTGACTGGGGCTACGTTACTCAGTGAGCTCAATGGGCAGAGACCGTCCCTTCCACTGCCCTTGTGCAGCACTGAATGTGGGGTCAGTGTCCAGGGAATAAAAAACAATATCCCAGCCCTTGGACACTGCAGGTGGAGTTTCAGGGAAGTCAAATTTCATTATCACCTGAGCTGGGATTTGGGCAGAACATGGAGGTAAAGGTCCCACTCCCTCAAACAGCACCGCAATGAGCATGAGAGCTGAGTCGTAGCTTTATGTCTCATTTAAAAGAGGTTGTTTAATGCAGCACTGACCCTGCTATCACCACAGTGGGGTCAGTGCTGAGTGTCAGGGGACAGGGCCCCCTACCGAGTCCTGCACACCACTCCCTACAGCATAAGACCCTTACTGCAGTGCTGGGCTCAGTGCAGGGGCACCCCCAGTGGCAGAGGAGGCTCTGGCTGCCCCCTAGTTCCGTGTCTCACCTGCGACCTGTAGCTCAGTGGTGGCTTCCTGGGTCCATTCTGGGTTCCTCACAAGGCACTGGTATGTCCCAGCATCCGCCACTTGGAGCCGTTTCAGCTTCAGAGAGACGTTCCCACTGCTGAACTCCTGCGGGAACAGCTCCGTCCGCGTCTGGTAACCCTCCCCTGGAAGGCCCTGGGTACCCTCCTCTGAGTACTCATGAATCAGAACAAATCCTGGTTCAATTTTCCTCCACAGCACTTCCATGCCGAGAAGCCGGGCTGGGGGTGTGAGCTGGCAGGGTAACACCACATCCCGGCCAACTACCCCCACCATGGGATGCGGGGAGCCAGCCAGGGAGAACTTCTCTGCAATAGACAATCCCAGGAGCAGATTGAATGATCAGAAAGAGCAGAGGGTGCCAACACTTGAGCTACTATGTGTTTTTCATAAAGCCCCAGCTCCCGGAGGCATGTGATTCTGTGAGAATCTCAGCTTTCATTTAAAACAAAAATCAGTTTCTAGCTCTAGTGATTGGAGAGAAAAGCATGAAAATGGGACCCAAGGGTGATGGAAGGCTCAAAA